TTTTCAATTGTTAAATAGTTTTTCCATTATATTGAGTAATACCGTTAGATTTGTGAGAGAATTTTACCCCAAAAAAGTGGGGTTTTCAAAACATTTCTGTTTTTATCCTCAGGAGAAATGTGCAATTTAAGATGTCAAATCCAAATTCGCACCAATGTTCCATTAGTAGGTGCTCGAAAGTGTACCATTTGAAGGTTAATTCTCTCCGAAATTATTAATAATAAAAACAAGAGAAAGAAAAAAATAATAAATTACGTTTTAGCACGTCTAGAGCATTAAGCGCGCATTTAAGTATAGATTAGATGATGAACTTTGTTTTTCAATTTTTCTATATTCGTGACCTCGAATGACCTTGAGTGTCTATGCATGATCATTGTATTTGTATTGAGGCGGCTCGTAGGTGTTCGAAAATGGACAATTCTATTTAAAAAGATAGAGATGTTCTTTATCTTTTTGACGTCTCCACCTAGAATAAAAGCAGCGAAACCAGAAAATGTCCCTCTCGAACTGTTCCATTTCATCTGAAACATTTTTTTTTAATCAATAATTACGAAGAATTGGACTGGATTAAATAAAATAGGACATCCTGTATATTGAGTAGAAATTTTTCGTTTTATAATTACTTTTTCGGATGCTACATATGTTTTCAAACACCGTTAATGGTTTTGCGTCAAATATGTGTCATTTAAAAATAATAATAATAAAAGATGAAAAGAATGTAATGATTAATTTAATTTTTATAATTGTGTAACGGACAAATACATAATTTTAAATAAGCTGTAACAATGCTACTCAAAATTATTTGTGAGTACATCAATCTTTTCAAGTGAAAACGCACAGCGCGGTTACTTCTCTTATTTCTTAAATCTTCTTCTTATCCTATCTTCACGCCAACGTTTGCCGCAGCTGCGCTCGCGAGCGCAATATCTCGTGCAATAAAGAAATCGTTAGGTGAAGATAAAAAATTCCGGCTGACTGCGTGAGAGTTTATCCGATCCAGACGGTTCTCGCCATTCTCCACAATCGCAAAATTTACATTCTTCCGTCACCTTCCCAGGTCGAGCTTCGCTTCGGACGTAGAGTTCGTTCCTCGTTGAATTTTACGTGTCCTGAATACGCGAATCCTTCGGGAAAACTGTCGCGGAGTAGCAATCTTCCTAAAAAGCCACGCTCGCGTGCTTCGTTTTGACATGAACAAGGTAAAGGATCGACTGGCACAAGGCTGAAAATGTCCGATTTTGAGATCGTCTTTCGATATATATAACAGCTCAGAACAGAAATAAGAGAATATTTTTTTATATCAGCGTGCAAATTTAGAAACAGTCCTTCGAATATGAGTGTATCGATAAGTGTTTTCTTATATATGTTTTCTTATATATGGTCAACACTTCTGTCTTACACAAGTTATTAATATATTTTTCCATGCTTTGAGAAATTGATATAAATATAACTTGATGTAGATGTAATGTTATGCAATTATATTAAAATATAAATATTAATTTGAAGTAGATATGTTATGCAATTATATTAAAATTACAGCAATTAATTAATTGACTGTTTGATGTATTGACATTATTTTTCAACGTTTGTTATTAATTTTAAATAATATGTGCTTTGTGATGCAAAAAGCCTAAGATTTAAATCTTGTACGACAATTCTATGAAAAATTGATATGTTTCTATTTGTACACGGTTGAAAGATGTTGAAAATAGACGTTGGAAATATTCTAATATAAAAGTACCTAAGAAAAATAACATTGCAACGATGAATTTAATCGTCATGATTTTCGGCACGCGTTCAATTTTCTGTTTGTTTGTTACCTATTTTGTGACGCACGTAGCCACATTGGAGCCTTTCGTCGTAACTTTGCGGTAAGGAATGTCTCTGTGCTTTTTTTTCTTATCCTTTTGGATTTTGCCGTAAAGGGGGAAAAAATTGAGGTACTTCCTTCGCGAGGGGAAGACCGGGCGTCGAAAGGCGCGCAGTCGGAGAAACTCGATATCGAATTTTCTCGCTACATAACACGCGAGATGAATTCACAGCGTCGTTTCGCGGTCTGTATACGCGAACGTAATAAATATTTAATGCGCGCGAAATGTACTGGGTGCATTCCGGCATTGGGCACCATATCTTACGGCCGTAGACTTTTCTAACGTATTTTTTCCTTCGGAGGTGGCGGAGGGGGGAATTTTACACGATCGTAGTTTGTCACGATTTTTATCCCTATTGCGCGTGTATGTACGTTTCCCGATGTCTGATACAATAAGACGATCTTTAATTTTCCTTGGAATTAATTGGTATACATCATTGTTCGACGATAAAAAGACCACGCGCAAACGGCAGATTCTCACGAGATGGTTTTTCAATGACCGACTTTTCTCTCTGAAGATTATACCCATTTTTCATAATTTGTATTGCTCACGCAGAAAACACAATTCCAACGATTCCGTGATCGACGATGTCGTTCCACGACGTGAAGATAAAAATGCAACGAACGAACGGCGACAATAAATTCGCATCTGTATAGAAGCGAGAACATCTTCGCGTGATATGCGACGCGTAATTCATTCTTCCATTCCGTTCCTTATATCTCATATTGCTCGTCTTTTACGGTACTTTTTTTTAAACTAACAATATGAGACAAGCTCGTCAAAACAATCAAATTATAAAATATAAAGGCTTAACTAACGAGCACTAATAAGATGACGCTTAAATATAAAATATAAAATTTATTCAAAGCGAATAGACGCGGTAAATGTTTCGGCTTTACTTAGCCTTCTTCAACCGCAAAAAATCGAATAATTAGCGAAATAAATACATGAGTCGCGTAGTCGATATATAACAATAATTTGATAAATTAGTGTAGAAAAACGAGAGTCGAACACGTTTTTTTTTTAACTTTTATGTATTATATCACTATATTAATTATAAATATTTTTTAAGCATCTCAGAAACCAAACGTATTTTAATTAACAATTACTCGAAGAGTAACAATATTCATCACAAATTCAGAATCTATTTTGAATTAATATTATATCCGATTAGAATATTACAACGCAATCAGCTTGCCTCTCGATTATCAAAAGTAATGGAAAACGTGTAAGAAGTAAATTCGAGATAAATTTAAATATGTGTCAACAATTTTTAACTTACAATTAAATTTCTAAGCTCAACTCCGAAAATAATTACATGAACGATTATTCGCAAGCAAGCGCGCGGCGAATAATTTAACTTATTCGCAATCAATTCAACGATTCATTTACTCGCTCGGACTGATTGAACCGTAATGACAGTGATTTTCCTGAGAGGCGAGCGAGGCGAATCGTCCCGTTAGATCGCGCTAATTTTTGACAGATTTGTGAAAAATGAGCGACTTTACGGGGTTATTGGCCGGTTATGCGAACGTGAAAATCCATATCAGACCAGGCATCAATCATCTTGATTCACGCCCGATATTCCCGCCCATCGATCCGCCCGAGGAGGATAATCCTGACGGATACTCCTTGGAAGTGGAACCTTTCTCCGACTAGGAAGACGCGTCGCAGGATTATACCGGCTTCTTAAAGTTGAGAACGACTTCATCGTCGAGCGCAAAGGGACATCCGCTTGGCTAAGATAATAACAGATATTGAATCCTTAATGCCTTTAATGGAACAAAACATTTGCTTCTAGAATTTTATACGCGGACGATTGCTACTATAGTTTTCAATGGCTTTTCATCTATCGATTAGTTTCTTTTTCACAGAACTGCTTCGAAAGTTTTATACTCGGATGAAATTCGTACTTTATCAGAGTACAAAATGATGTACTAATTAAAGATTAAATTTCAAAATATAAAATTCTATTAAGGTCCACTTAAAATTAAACAAGTTTGCAGTTTGGTTATTTATTAGCTTACTTCGAAACATTCAAAAATTTGTTTAATTATTTGTAATCAGAATCTATTTCGTCAGCATTTTTGGTAAAGAAAAATATATTTGAAATTTATCAGAAAATATATAATTATAATTAAGTAAATGATGGAAGATATACTTTCATATTATTATTCACAGGAAATGGAAAGTTACTTTTTAAAAGTAACTAGTTATCGTTACTCGTTATCGAGTTAAAAAAGTAATTAGTTACCGTTACTAGTTACTGATTTTCATTAAAAATAACTCGTTATCGTTACCGTTATCTAAAAAGTAACGATTCGTTATTTTTCCGTTATTTTTTTAATGCTGAAACAAGATCCATCTAAATAATTTAAGAATTTTTTTTAAATATTATTAAAAGCAATACAATAATCATACTAGATCGATATATAAAAATACAATTAGGAAAAGAAAAGCTTTTTTGATGTGAGCTAGAGCTTCCAGCTTCGTGCTTAATATTTCAAAGAATTTATATACATATCCAATTCTACGCGCCAATTAAATGTTCGATCTTGAAACGCAATTCGGCTGATATTTTTTTACATTAATCTTTTCGAAATATTTTGAGATGCTCATTAACGTAAATATCTTATTAAATTACTTGTCAATTTAATTTGTGATATTGATAGACATATGACATTCTTAAGATGTTATAAGCTAATCGCAGAGCTATATTAATATTTTAAGACATTTAAAACAGTGTTGAAATAACACCAAACTATGAATACTAGTTAAAGACTGAAGATTAAGTATACGAAAATTTTATCATAAATACAAAAAGTAACGATAAAAGTAACTATATAATTCATTACCGTTACAGTTATCGAAAAAAAAGAATAACGCCATTACCAATCCGTTACCAAAAAAAAGTAACTGTAACGGTAACGGAGTTACAGAGTTACTTCCAATCCCTGACTTCAGATCTTTTTATACAAATTTTCCCAATATATATATATATATATATATATATTGGGAATATATATATATATATATATATATATATATATATAAATTTTCCCAAGTTCTCCCTTAATTAGCATCTAATTACCATCTATGTAATTTTCGCACAATTTCACTTAATTCTCATGCTACCTATCGTTTTAAAAGATTTAATTTTGTTGTATGAAACATGAAGACACAATTTTGATATGTCCCGTATGCAAGATCGATTCCTTTATTCGCGACCCGATAAAGTTTTCAATTAGGTGCGGTTGATCCTATACAAAGTTCAACAAGTATCATGTACCGCGCACAAAGCAAAAGCTCAACAAACTTCCTACTAAAAGCTGTGTTCGGTTCGTAAGCTGCTAAATCCGTTAACTGTGTAAGGTTGCTATATATTGTTGCAATCTTGCCTGAGAATATGTTATGCGTACACGTACCGCTATGCGTCTAAAATTTACTGATTATTGTGCGCCCGTTGAATATACATTACCTGTACTTTGTGTGAAGGGGGAGGGCGAGAGAGTTTCGACAACTCCAACATCAAAATTCTCTTGTACACAAAGGTCGTTGCAACTCTAATATTGCATTACGCAGTACGTGAATAAATTTGTTATAGACTTACTATAGCTGCACCTATTAATTTATTATTAATATATAATCGTCGTGATATTCCGAATTGTAAATATCAAATAACACAACTGTCGATACGTTTAACTCAATTTCTCTTTTGTAAACTCCTGATGCGAGAAATATAAATGCATTCACATTTTCACACGCACAATAAATCGACGAATGACTCGGAATTAAATATATTGTTTTTAATTTATTCTAACAAGGGAACCTCGCGAAGTGTCAAATTCTGATTTTAATGAAACTTGGTACACTTTGAGGTCACATAAATAGATGAATTAAGAAATTATCAGTTGGTGCTAAAAAACGGTTTAAAGGAATGAATCCACCCCTTATATGTAAATTAATTCTTTTTTTCTTTTGTTATATCTCGAAAACTATTCAAGATATCAAAAAAATGTTGTATACAAAAGTTTTATAGTAAAATTGTCTTTATTCATTTACGTTAATGGAATTTTTTTTAAATAATTATTTTCAAAAATTTTT